CACCAATACTTGATTATTGCATTTTTTGATTTATTATCATTTTTTATTATTATTTTTTCTTCTAAAATATTTTAACTTCTTTTTTAATTAATTTCGTTTTTCAATTTTATTTTAATTATCCCTCTTTCAGATTATTTATGTTTGTTTGCGTACCGTGTGTCTGTAAGTGCGTTTGCCATGTTATGGAAAGAGCTGCGCAACAGTATTATTAGCAGTTTAGAAAACAAAAACAACAATATTACTATATACATAGCTATGCAAAAACACTACATTCATTTTCAAAACTACAAATTTTAACCATTAACTGCAAAAATGGCGCACTTCAGAATCTCTTACGTATTATATGTACGATATACATATATGTAAGTACATAATCGTTTTTAAGTTAAGTACAAGTCAACGAATTCGTCACTATAATTTTGCATAATGACTGCATATATATGCTTGTTTTTGGTTATATTATTATTWTTGTTTTTTCAACATATTTTCTTATACTCGTATAAAATTTTTACTTATGTTAATAAGTTTTCTTATATCAATTGTTGAGGAAATATGTGAATTCATGCTTTTAATACAATAAAACTTTGTATTTTTAATTTTATTATTTTTAAATATTTACAATTGTTGTGTTTAAAGCAGCACTAGATGATTTATTTTCCTACTTTTCTGTGGTTCACGAACAAATTATTATTATTTAAACTTAATTCAAAAGCGAACATATAATATATATTTTTTTTACTTCAAATTTTTAATATAAACACTTATACTTTTTAAATAGTGCTGAAAATTGTTATAAGTGTTTTCAAACGATTCTGCGAGTGTGTCAATTCATTTAATTTTTTTATTTCTTTACGTTTCCACTAAAATATTGGTGTCAAATAAGTCGAACAACAATTTGTTCTGAGAATTTGATTTTGAGTTATATCTTGAAATTGTTTTAACTGAAAATAATTTCAAAATTTCAGAGAATTTGCTTTACATAAATATAATTTTATTGTTTACATATGGTTTGTTCCTGTTGAAGTAACACAAAACAGGGTCATTCATGTGCAATGAAATAATAATTTGAAGTTATTAGTATTTTTTAATACACTATATGTCAAGTGCCATACATAAATTTCAAAATTATAATTCTTAATTTTAACAAATATAGTTTTAAACTTAATAAAAAATAGCAGGAACAAAAAAAAAGTAATAATTTTGAAAATTTTAAAATATGTATGAATATGATGTATAACATTTTTTTTTTTGCGTTTTTAAATGAATATTTCTTTATACGTGTATTTAACTTGTCTACTTCTTGATTGAAATCGCGTTTGCGGAATTGTATCGAGAGTTTTTGTTTAATTTAGTTTAGATAAAAATTGATTTGAATAAAAGTAATTTTTGCAAATGATATATAAATATCCTCGATTTATATTCACTGAAGAATTCAGAATCCCAACAGCTTCTCCAAAAGGATTTAGTAATTTTCTGTGGTGCTATACCATTACAAATGAGACGAGCGAACTTGAGGCTGCATGTGTATATCTGGTTAATACCTCAGTTGTCACTGAGTGCAAGCTGGTTTTAATATTCTATGCATTCGTCTGCAATCGGAGTTATAGCAGAGCTTTCTGGGAAGACATTTTGTTGTTGTTGTTGTAGCGGCAGAAAACGTTACTGCTGTAAATTTGAGTAATGATGCCGAGTTGCCCGTTAAAAAACCGGCTTCGTTCCGCTTACTTAAACGAGATTGTCGTAGAAATGGGGGTGAATGTCGTCGAGAGGGTTTTTTGGAAATCACGTTTGATATTCTTGTGGGTTAATACTGCGTTTTTGTGTATTTTTAAATATTTTGTTTGTAGGATTTAATATGTAAACTTAAATTATGTTTWTTTATTTATTTATTTTCTTTACTTTCTTATGAGTTTAAAAAATGTTTGATCTTTTTATTTTATTGTTTTAAGTAGCTGAATAAATATTTAAATTTCCTCATTCCAAACTACGACTTAGTTTTGCCAAACTTTAAGTTTTTCCTACCAGATATAACCAAATTATGACCAGAATTTGGTTTCCTCTGAGTATTTTCAATTTTATAGAGTTTTTTTCTTGTTCTTAAACTTATGCAAAGCGATGTTATGTAATTTTGCAATTAGGCTGATGATATCTACATTATATTTACATAAAGTTATTTATTTAAAAATGTTAATATCTATGCCTGGGTGCGCTTGTGATGCAACTTAAGGAACCGTAGTCATTTAAATTTAGTAGTACGAGTAGTTAGTAGCGAAGGCTTAAATTAAAGGTAATAATACATTAACACATACATATGTACATAGTAGGTGCTTAGGTAAACATATACATGTATGTATATTAATATAATATATAACAGTAGGCCAGTGCTATAATGTAAATTGTGTGGAAGAAGTTTTAGGCCAAGAGCAATCAGTTATGTATATATTTTAGATTTTTTTTAAATACATTTTTTTAATTTTTCTTAATTAATCTTTAAATTTATAACCCCCTT